TCTTTTGACTTCTTATTTATTTTGTCATTATATTAGGTATAGTTTTTTAAAGTCTACATGTCAAAGTATTTACCTACAGTACCCAAAAAATATACTTAAAATGTCAAAGTACAGTAACCCAATTTTAATAAAGAAAACTACAGAATAAGGTAGATTAGGGTAGGCTATGATAGGAAAGGGTAGAGTATTTGTTATTCCCTGCCCAATACAAGCATTTTACTTTCGTTCCCTGCCCTGCCCCGTCTTGTCCTAGTTCAAAGGATATTTTTGGCCGTAGGTCAATACCCTGCCCTCTTCTTCTTTCCCCTCTCCCCTCCCCTTCTCTAAGCGACGGCATTTTTCTCGACCTAGCTCAAGACAAGGCAGGACACAAGACACCTAGCCCTATGTTTAATTTTACCTCTAACCAACATGATTTGTCATTAGGCATAAACCGAATTACCTACTATAATATAATACAGAAAGCCTTTTAAAGCCTAAAACTTTGTTAACGGGCTAAAACTGCACATTCTTAACCAGCTCCTAATTTGGTTACCCTAGAGTACAAGATAAGCTTACTATCTACTGCATAATAATACGATTGCTTATCAGCAACCTACATAAAAGTTTAACTTTTTGTAAAAAGTTAAGTCTAATTTAAAGTTCAAGTCTAATTTAAAGTTTAAGCCTAATTTAAAATTTAAGCCTAATTTAAGATTTAAGCCTAATTTAAAGTTTGAGCCTAATTTGAACTTTAAGCCTAATTTAAAGTTCAAGCCTAATTTAAACATTAGACCTAACTTAAAGTTTAAGTCTAATTTAAAAATTAAGCCTAATTTAAAGTTAAAGCCTAATTAAAAGTTTAAACTTAGTTTTAAACTAAAAACGTGTTCACGACAAACCAAAATTGACCTTAGCACCGAAAATAATTTGTCAAGTCGAATCCGGGTTGCGTGCACTTTATAATAGGTCGCATTGTAAAGTCTGCTAAATTATAAAAAGCTTTTGCCAAATAAGGGAGAAACGACAAAAAGTAATTAAAAATGTGTCGTAAGAACAGGACAAGGTATTGAGGTTAATTTATATTGAACTGTCAATAAAAAACTACAGTGAAACTCTTGTATAACGAACTTCTCTATAACGACATCTTCTTATATAAGAAAAAACATCTAAAGCTCCGGCTAACTCAATATAAAGCAGCCAAAACTCTCCGCTTAGATTTTTTAAATAATTATGTGCCCCCCCCCCATTTAAACTTTTTTTTGGCATAGAATCAAAACAAAAAAAAGTTGAACAAAGTTTAACATAAGTAGCTCACGTAAAAAATTACAAAACAAAAAAAAATTTTAAAAAAAAATTTAAAATTAAAAAAAAATTTTAAAGCTAACATTTGTACCATAGAAATAGAAAGTTAGAAAGTTAGGTATAACCCAGTAAAGAAGCCGGGCCGAGCCTAGTAATCTCTCTTTCAAATCAATTTAGACGAAAGGCAAAATAATCATATATTGATTTAAAACTAAAATATGTTTATAAATCAAGCTAAGCTTTCCAAAGAAGTAGAAGTAGTCACAATCCCAAAACCTTAACATAAACGCAAATGAACTTCAAGAGTCCAAACACTTCTTTAAAACTAAGACATCTACCCTAGAATTTACAAAAAGTTAAACTAATGCCGTCACAGTCTAGACAATGTAATACTTGCACAGAATTTAAAATGCGTATGACAAAAAAAAACGAAATTTTTGTTTAAACTCAATATTGCAAAAATTTTTAAAAATAAATTACATCTTAGCAAATCATTGGGTACCACAGTTTTAAATTTGCTTTATCTTACTTTAATTGTTATTCTAGGCTATCAAAAATTAAAAAACAAAACTTTATTTTAAAAATTTCAAAAAAAGTTTGCTAATTATAGAGCAGAATCATATTGTAGTAGCTACAGAATAACACCAAGAACAATACCTTTTTGATTTTGTGAAAAATAGTGTCACTTTGTAGTTGGCAAATCGAGAAAAAAGCCTTTTGAAGGCCAAATAAGTGCCATATAATATAAATGAAATCAACCAAAATTTGTATTTCATAAATTATGATAAAAAATGTTCAAATAATTCTATCCTCCATTTTAAAACAAGTTTTCAAGGTTAAGAGGCACAGAATTGTTGGAAACTAATTGTAAGTGTTTGCAAAAAAAAATTTTTTTTAGCATTTTCAAATTTTTTTAAATTTTTTAAATTTCAAGTCATTTTTTCAAATTTACAGTGTAATTCTTGTATAGTTTTAAAAATTTTCTTATCAGTTTACCAAATTTAGGCTAAAATAACATTTACTGCCTTACAATAATTTTAGTTGAAGCAAAAAAAAGCTCTCTAGCTTTGTATCAAATGTATAATTGACACAAAACGGTTTGTATCCAAAAGATTGATACCAAAGATAATACAGCAAACTACGCTATTTAAAAAGATTTTTCATGTTGTAGTGTTAAATATAGCTTTCCGGTGGTTTTTTTGTTTGCTTCAAGTAGTTCAGAAATAAATTACAGTGTACGAACACAAGATATAATACATGAAATGGAAACCGCTTTTGTGTTTTATTTTAGCCTGAAATAAGGTTTCTAAGAGCTTCACTTAACTTTGTAGCTAAATTTTTTTTGGTCCCGCCACGAAAAGCTGAAAAACTTGGCACGAACTTTCTTTTTTAACTTAGCCTAAACTAAAATTTTTAAAGACAAACTTTACTTTAGAGCTAACTTTTTTTTGGTCCCACCACGAAAACATGAAAATTTTGAAATGTGTTGCTATTAAAACCAAGGCCTAGACTTATCTCCGTAGCATATAAAGTAACAAAAAAATTTTTAAAATAGCCGGTTTGCTGACCTGAACCTGAAAAAAAGACCCACTAGGCCTAACCTAACCCCCAACCCAAGCCAAAGAAAATTTTTAAATGAGCTTGGCCGGCACATGTTGACCCCAAGCGCAGACCAAAAAATTGAAGCTCGCCCTTTGAGAACCCTACTGATGTAGCAAGAAAAGTATATCAATTCCTGTAACAAATGCTACGAATGCCAGAGAATACCATTGCGTGCCACAAAGACAATACAGTAGGATAAACCCACGAAAAAAAACCAATGAATTGTCGGGAAATTCAGTGTAAACTCAGCTACTATTCTCATACCATTTTTGCGAATTCTAGACGTTTTACAAAGCAATTAAAATTTTTTAAAAAAAAATTTTTTGGTTTTCTGGACTTTTAACTTGAGTGGTCTATAAAAATTTGGCTTTTTAGGCTTATTATATGCCCTTTAGGTTTTAAGCTGTGAGTCCTATACAGGATACGCCAAAAGTTCTGTTACACGATTTTTAATCAAATATTTATTTTAACAACAAATATAACTAAAACAACAACTAGCAATAGTAACATATAGTACTAGTCATAACATAGTCAATAACCCTGTACTTAAAACCATAGCCAGCTCCGGAGTTCTTAAAAACTGTGGCCCTAACTATAACACAACATACAAAGAAATCCCCAATCAAAAACCAACCAAAAATCGACTACCAGAAGCCCTCAAAAAGCCCAACAAAACATATACTAGAATGTTACACATTTTTAAATTTATACATCCGACACATGTATACACGGAACCACATGTTTCGTAATCATGCCTAAATCCCCCGTTACACTAATACCATAATGCAAATGTGTTTAAAACAGTAGGCAGGCTTTAGTGGCAGTTAGTAGAAAAAGGGTCATAAAACTTGTGGGAAGGGGGGTTTATCACTCAACCCTCCTCTTAATCCTAAAAAAATTATTACCTCCCCCCCCCCTTAACCCTTAAAAAAATTTTTCTAAAAGTTGAGCTTGGTCACCCCTGTTAATAAAAAAAAACATTCTACCACTCAGCCCTGCCTCATACTAAACATGCCCGTCTCACTTTTTACAGTACCAAACCGTATATAAACTACCGTTTTTACTATGTAAAACCCCTCAAAAACCAAAGATAGCAATACAACAGACCAATGGATAAGCCCTACCAGTACATATAAGTAATGTTAATCAGGGTTATCTATACTTGGTTGATTTTTGAGACCAACATTGCGTACAATTCGAGAACGTATTAGTATAGTATACATTGTGGGTCTTCTAGACAATGTATTATATATGTCATCTATATGCACTTATACTTATAAATCCTTTTATACCTTTTTATAGCAGATTTGAAAAAAGACATAGAAAAGTTAAAATAGGAGTTTATAATATACATGTCTATATTAATAGCATGCTTTAAACATCTACATCTACATGTCTATAGGCTACCTTAAACTTCTATACGTATATCACCATAGACATTCATAAAGATTTACAACTGCATGAACAAAGCTTGGCTGAAACATCTACAACTACATGAGCATAGCCTTCATCATCTACTACAACATAAAAAAGCCATACACATCTTCAACTACACGAAAAAACTCTTTATCATCTACTATAATATCAGAAATACTTAATCTATTGTACGTCTTTGTTAGCATGTTTAAAATAAATTTACGTAGCCCTACGTTATGGGATTAACGACAATGTAACGTAATGCAAAGGTACCGTAATCCGAAAAGGAAAAGATTAAAATGGAAAAGATCAAAGAACTTGGGCTGAAGTCACGTTTCGTGCACTTTCACAACAATATACATGCACCCAAGAATGACATAAATAGTTCGCTATAGTGCTAACAGAATAAATGAATTCCTACAGTACTAGGCTTAAAATTAATTTGGTCTTCTTACATCTGCGTTTTTAAATACAGTATCCCACTAAACACCAAAAAGTTATACCTAATTTTCGAAAACAGTGTAAAACTACAGTAATCTGAAACCAAAACAACCTAAATTTCAAAGCAAAACCAATTAGAAATGCTTTGAAATAGTCACATTGCCATTACGTACCTTACAATTATATTTACATTGACATAAATAAACCGGCTTACATTTAATCGTGCATACACAATAAAGGTTACAGCTGAAATATTTATGAACACTGGTGGGTGATAATTGAAGTAATGTTAACTCATAACATGAGATAAACATGACACTGTAGTTTTACTCCCCCTTTGCCTAGCTAAAAATTTGTCTAAAGCCTTGGTCCTAGCCCAAGCCCAAAACTGACCGGACCTGAACTTAGACATAAACCTGGACATATATAAGACCTGATCCTTGACCTAGGCATAAACCTATATCTGAACCTGAACCTAAACCTAGACTTGAATTAACCTAGACCTAGACCTAGACATAGACCTAGACCTGGACCTATACCTAGACTTAGACCCAGACTTAAGCCTGGACCTAGACCTAGACCTAGACATAGACATAGACCTAGACCTAGACCTAGACCTAGACCTAGACCTAGACCTAGACCTAGACCTAGACCTAGACCTAGACCTAGACCTAGACCTAGACCTAGACCTAGACCTAGACCTAGACCTAGACCTAGACCTAGACCTAGACCTAGACCTAGACCTAGACCTAGACCTAGACCTAGACCTAGACCTAGACCTAGACCTAGACCTAGACCTAGACCTAGACCTAGACCTAGACCTAGACCTAGACCTAGACCTAGACCTAGACCTAGACCTAGACCTAGACCTAGACCTAGACCTAGACTTAGACCCAGACTTAAGCCTGGACCTTGACTTGAACCTATCTTAGACCTAAACAATCTATTTACGTCTCTACACTATCCTAAAAAACGCCTTATCAGACCGACCCAACAACCACTAACCACAACTAACCGTACGCCCGCCTTTATATAACCCTATGGCCTTCTAGTGCAAAGAATTTGGCTAAGTCTAGTTAATCCGCCCTTATCGACCGACTTTATCAGCACGCCCTGTAATCCGATGACATTAAGCGACTAAACTTAACCGGCCCGGCGTATTTTTAGCGCTCTTTGTGAAATCGGAAATCCCACGAAATGCCAATGACACAAGCTACTGTAATGTTAGGATAATCTTTATTGTACGTGTATTTATAGGGATAATAGACGACTTTTTAGCTGTGTTAAGGTACTTAATGTCTAGCTTTTTCTAACCAAAAAAATTTGTAGTGTTTTTATTTTTAAAACTATAGTAAAACCTATTATACGTTTTTTATACCTTTTAATTTAAGTTATATTCAACTACACAGTAACAACCTACTCTCATATAACATTTTTACTCTTCGTTACACAATTAACATATACAGTACATCACAAAACACTAACACAAGCTATTTATCACCACACAACGGCCAAACCGTACCGGCCTAATAAAGTATTGTACGCGTTTCCCGCAACTTGTTGCTGATTCATTAACAACTTAAAAGCGTTCGAGCTTTCCGGCTCCAGTTTTAAAGCTGCGGCCCGAACTAACGCGGTACCACTTGGTCCTGGTTCTTCTTTTGGGGTTTTTGAGGTAGATGTTGAGGGCTTCATGCTTTCCTAAAACGAGATATTGTAAGTTAAAAATATACGGTTAAACCATACCAAAACTGCACTACAAAATGAATTGTTTGTTATTGTGTGCTTTAAGAAAAAAACATGTTTTTGTTGCACTTGGTGTTCGAAATGTTAAACTTTGTACCTTATTTCAAAGGCATTGCAAAAAGTACAGTATAAGATTGCAAGCTAAATCAAGGTCTTGACAAAAAACTACTCTACTTTACCTAACAAACATTAAGATTGAACTTACGCGTTCGTGGCGAAAGTAAGCAGACCGACCGCTAGGTTGTTCAGGTATGCGTTGCTCTGGTTGCACTGAATGAGTACTTTCAAGTTCGTTTTTCAAAACTGATGGATTGTCACCGCTCTGACGCTGAAAACATTTTTAAATAATTTTAAAAATTTTTGAAAAAACAAAAAATAAAACAAAACTATAAGTGTAATCAGAAGCTCAACCTATTTAACTTAAAAATAATAAACTGTTTATATAATTCTGTGCCCCGTTTCAAAGCAAAGTTGTAAAGCAAGAGGGCGCATAGTTATTTGAACAACCTAACAATAAAAGAAGAAATAATTTTTAAAACCAACTCTAACTCAAAACTGAGCCCGTCACCCACACCTATACCTAAATTCCACCCTTTTCGTACAAAGTCAGAATATAAAAAGCAAGTAAATGTCTAGCCAAGACATCTTTTAAAAGTACACCATACTTTAAAGCGCACGAAATACAAAATATCGGTCTTTACCATGCTTTTATAATTATATTAACCGTAAAAGTGCACCATGTAAGAAGATGTAAAGGTAAAAAGTACAACGTGTATGTAAGAGCATATACAGGTAAAGTACACCGTGTATGTAAGACATACCTTAAAGTACACGAAAGAATATATAAAAGTATAGGTACTACAAAGTGCATGATATAAAAATTTTTGATGTCATGTTAAGAAGAATAACTTTAAGCTACAAATGTTACCGTATTTAGCATGATAAGAATTTTTATTGCGTTTTATACGTAGCTCTAGCTTTTGTTCTAGCTCTAGTTATAACTCTATCTCTAGCTCTAACTCTAGCTCTAGCTTTATCTCTAGCTCTAGCTCTAACCCTAGCCCTATTTCTACGCCTAAACTAAACCTATTTTAGCCTTACTTTACTCCAAGCTTCTATCACACCCACAAGTTATAATGACTTATCTCATTTAAATCATACCAAGATATAGTCTTACATCCATCCCAAAAACTCCCTTTTAACTATGTGGTGCTGGCCTATTCCTAACCTAATATACATGTACAATATGCAAAAACTCCCAAAATGGCAACCTAGGTGTAATAATTATATCGTTGAATTTTGACGTCATTCCCATTAACCCTAGCCCAAACCCTAGCCATACGTTGTGTTTTTGTGGGTCTGTGTTCAGACATTTGGCATAATTAGAAACAATTAACACCGTCTTGAAAAGTGCGGATGATACGCTGATGACGACATTCGTGAAATACGCACATACCTGGCCAAATGCCAAAGAGTGCGGCGTGAATGAAGGTGCTAATTATAGTGCTGTAAACGTTTTATCTCTTACAGTGTGGTTAAGTGCACGTGGTTTGGGTTTGAAAAGTTCAGAGCTTAATAAGAGATACGGTAGCTTTAAAAAACGGCTCTCTAGAGTAGAGTAAATTAAATTACTGTAAAATCTAAATTGCTAACTAAAAACCGCCCGGTAAACAAAATTTTAAATTATGACATTTTGCAATAAAAACTAATTAAAGTGATATAATTCGTACAAAACCCAAAAATGTGACATTATACTGTATATTGCATCCAAATTTCAATACAAAACTCAAAAAACGGCATGACTCAAATTTGGAAAATGATATAATTTGTACAAAATTGGACACAAGCACGCAGCAGAACATAACCGTACTATTTACCAACACGTTTGTAGTGAATAATCATTGCTAACGTTTTTTAATATATGCTTTAAAAAATTACCCTACCCTGGACTTAAAAAGAAACCAAGCCAAACTCAACTTTTTAGTCTACAAGCCTATAGGTAACGGTCCAACAACTACACAAAATACACAACCATTCCAACCAGCCCAATCTACATTACCATTCGACCTAATGTACATTATAAAACCAGCTCAGACAGTCGACGACATAGCACAAAAACTGCAAATCTCGTCGAGAAAAAGCGGCGGCACGCAACGTGCACTTTAACAGTAGTTCGACCACAAAATGTCATATAAATTCGACAGAAAGCACTCCACATCATAAGGATGTATAATCCGCGGGAAAGCTAATTGAAATTACAAAATTTTTAACTTTTTCGTTCAAAAGTGCACATTCCTTGTAATTATGTGGAATTGCGGGTTGATAGACTAAACTATAGGCTAGAGTAAACTATAGGCTAGAGTAAGCTTATATGGTAATTACTAATTACTGTACAAAAAAAGATGAACACTTTGATTTATATATTGCGTGATTGTTTTTGTATCAATCTAAAATCGTATGTCTAATAATAGAGTTACTATAAATGCTGCTGGTATTTTAGTATACTATAAGATAAAACTACTGTACAACAAAGCACATTTATAAAAAACAAATTGCAAACTTCCAAGCGCTTAATACAAGAGTTCTATTGTATTACATATTCTGTACTATAGAAGGATCAGAGTCCCCGTAACATTAAACTTTAAACTGTTCCTTATCCCGCCAAGTTATTTACTGAAGAAGCCCTAAACCCTGTGTTCACGTGCATACCAATTGGGTTCGAATTCAGGTTGGTAGATTAGACTCTCGTTTAATCCGGATCAATGTATGGTATGCCAAAAGTATTTCAAATTTACTTCAAATTGTAGATTTACTTCAACTTTTGGTATAGCACACATTAGAGACTGCCCCAGTCTTTTTAGTAAAAAACGTTTTTAGTACCTATTCCTTTCTTATAAAGCCAATAAAAAACAGCCCACTAGGTCCAAGGCCCAAAACAAGGCTCCGCATGAGAAAAACTTACGTCTTCGTTAATAAGATCGTCAATAAGTTGAAAATAGTCGGTGTCACCCGAATATTGTCGACTTAACGATGCCCGTCGGTCGGCGTACGGAAATTCTTGAAAGTTTGGGTTTAAAGCCGGTTGTTGTTGTTGTGGGTATTGAGAGTTTTGATACGGACGGTAGTGACGACTCGATGGTGACGTCTCAGCTAAAATGTATATTTGTTAAATTTTCTACAACATGGTCATGGTCATGTAGTAAGTATATATAATAGTACATAAAACAATCCACAATATTATGTATTATATGTACGTCTAAAAAATTATACGAAAAGTAAAAAAGTATAAACCTATAAAGGCTTGAGAGTCATTTTGTATCAGTAAAAAGATTTTTAGAGTTAGCTGTTGCAATTTACACAAAACTATACAGGCTATAATTAACACAGTGCTACCACAAGACAGAGACAAATGCTTGTATAAAACCAATTAACGGTAGTGTATTACAAAATCCAAAAATGTCAAAAATTATACTAAATGACAATAGAATGACGACTTGACAAAGATGCTACATTCTATTCTTTAGCGAAGAATAATACCACCATCTACAGTAGCTTTTAAATTAAAAAAAAAGTTTTTAAAAATTTACCACCGTGACCTGACGGAGGATACGATAAAACTAGGTAGGGTAATGTATAGTGTGAAGTAGAAAAATTCACTGTTAATTTTTATAAAATCCTAAAAAGAAAAGGGCTTACTAAGCCTTCAAGGAATTTATATAAAGGGTCGAGCCGAGCTAGCAACGTGAGCCCAAGCGCAGAAGCGCAAACCTAAGCTCAGTCCCTTGACGGGCCGAAAAATCGAGCCCGGCCTTTGTACAGAAGTACTCCCTAGCTATAAACCATTCATCAAAACTACTATGTTTTCCTGCTAGATATACACAAACCCAATTTAAAGCTAACAATTTAAAAACTTAATTAAGAAACAAACTACTTAAAACCGTTAATTATACGTAACAATTTTAAGTATTAAACACATCGCAAACGGCTTCTTTATACGTATATCCACTAGTATAATGAAATCGGTCCTAGACATTTCACCACGCAAAGTTTACACCAAATACGTAGATTTAGAATTTTACAATAAAACTTTACAATTCGAGAATATTACAATGAGCCAAAACAACGGTAAATCGCGCCAAGAGTAAAACAATTATTTTTATTATAAAACATTACACAGACATTATAAATAAGACAAGGTGGAAAAAAAACTACAATTTTGTCACACCTGTTATAACGGAATGACCAGCGGCTAAGCGGAGAAAAATAAAACACTTCAGATTGTAGGGCTGTTGGGGTGGCTCGTGATTACCGTAATGAAGCTGAGACTTATTTAGAAAGGTTGAATAGGTTTAGATAGTAGATATACTGTAACTTTCATAATACTCCCCAACCACAAAAAATACATTCTTCCTATATAAAAAGTTTTTTTTTAAGTCAATCAAACCTTCGATAACGCGATCAGCGGGAAAACGACATCAGTTACACCTGTCGAGTACTTTCTTTGTAACTTGAGTTAATTGAAGTACAATGTTAAAATCCTGTGTAAAAAAATACCGTATAACAAATTCTTGTATAACAAAACTTCCGTATAACAAAATTTTGTCTAAAGAAACTTCTGTATGACGAACTCTCGTATAACAACGAAACTAAAACCCTCCTTAGGACAACCCGTTTTGTCAATTTTGGCACCCACCCAATTACCGTACACGATAATGCGCCGAGCACACTAACCAACAATTTGGACAGCTGAAAATGCCCCCAACCAAAATTATTAAGACGTCTGAACTTGCGGGGTCCAGCTCATTAAACCCGACAATTCCTGCTAATCTGGCTTTTGGCTACAACACGTTTCGCAGACATCACATGTTGCCCCGCTGAATGTAAATCCGATGCGTGCAAAAAAGAGACGAGAGCCTTTTCGTACGACATTATTAGGAATTTTCGTATGTTGATAATTAGAGCTTGTCTCGGCGCTGAGAAGACAATACAAAATGTTTGGCATTTGTAGAGTTAACGTTTGTTTTATAGTACATAACTAGAAAACAGTACAACGTATTGAAAACTTTATTAACTAAAAACCAGCCAATTTTAAAATCAATTAGCCTGATTGTAGTTGGCATCAGTAGGTTTAGAATTAAATTTTAGAATCAAAGATCAATAAATGTAGTTGTCGTCTGCCTGCCAAAAAAAGTCCAATAAATCCGCCTACTTTCAATTAATTGGGTACAAAAGTCTGTTTCAAGACAGAAATGACGATAGTGGCAAAGTAAGACTGTCTGATCCATCGCTATACGAACACTAAAAGCACTGTCTATTTCTTAGCCTACGTTAAAGACAGTTTTGTCCTATCTCAAAACCTTAAACTAAGCTTTCCTGTATCTTCAATACCTATATAACCCCTAAAGCATTTGCAAAACTTCTACCTGCATTATTCAATAACAATTACAAAAGCAATATACGTATATCATACAACCTTTTACTGCTTTTAATTTGAACTAAAGCACGCCTATGCCTATGTACACTATAATTAAACGAAACGGTATATAATAGCACACAGAATACCGTACAATGACAAGGTTATTTATGTGTCATTTGTCACGTATCACCCATAACAACAACTCATGATGCCGGCAAAAATAAAGTTTGGTCGGTACTGTCGAGATTACGCAACAAAACACGACAAGAGGTAGAATGATTTTACTTCGGAAATCACCAACTTTTACATCGTCAACAAAGAACAACCAAAAGACAAGAGAGATTTGCATATTGCTGGGAATTCTCGCCATTTTCTAAAATTGAGGGTTTGCCGAGCGGTCGGGTCCTCCAAAGGTACATTCTTTGAACCCAGAAGGTGTTTGATGCATCCCTCTTCTTAGAATCAAAGTTCGTACCCGATAACCAAACAACCCTTCAACCGTTTGTCTAACCCAGCACCAACTCACAACCCCAAATCAGCGCACAAACAGTAAACATAAAAGGTAGGAACGTCTTAACCGCACTGACGTATGCTAAGCTACCAAACACTAATTAATGGGACGTTCATCTCTACCTGCTCTCTAGAGCATCGTGCTCTTTTCGGTGGAAAAAATTTTCGGTTCTGGATTGCATTTTACAACCAGACTTAGCCGACCGGATTAACTACGACTTATATCAATGCTTTAAGGATAATTCGCGTATAATGTCTTTTTTGCTGCACTTTGCGCCAATATGCACTTTAAGCACGTTTGAGACACGAAATCCGAGCGAGTTACGAAACGAGTGATAGCACGGGGAGCTCAAATTATATACCCGTAAATAGGAATTGAAGGTTGGTCATCAATTATAAGAGTTGGTGGACTTGAAATTGTAACAAAAAGTATCAAAGTTAGTAAATTTCGACTGTCTACTTATCATATATAATATTAAGATAGTGATGTATGGCCAAAGTTAGATCTAGAGCCAGAGCTAGAGCTAGAGCTAGAAGCAAGCCAAAACCAGAAGCACAATTAGAACCACAACTAGAGCTAGACCTAGAGTTAGAACTAGAAGGTAGGACTAAAGCTAGAGCCAAGAGTACCAAAGAACTACAAACCCTGCTAATTCTCAATCCAAAAAAACAAAATATATACTAAATTACTGGGTTAATCTACAGTAACTCATGAAACAGTTACTTCACAGAACCGTACTGCACGTTTCAGCGGTTCTTCTTACTTATTACGCTCAAGTTTAAATATTTATATGCAGTGTTTCGTCAATAAGCTAATTTAGAATTTAATATTTTCAGACTTCAATTAATTATTTAAATGCCTTTTTGTAACACTACAAACTGCATTACAAGAAAAAAACTTGTATATTACTTAAATATAACTTAGAACACAAATTACTTGTGTTGGTTTTACAAGAAATTGAGCAAAATAAATAGAGGAACAATCTAGAAAAGAATAAATAAAAAGAAAAGATTGTTAAAGAGTTCCTGTATAATAAACCACTAGGGAAATTGGAAATTTGGGGGTTGTAAAAGGATACAGTAATTTTAAATGAACTGTAGTGTCTGCCGGAAATTAAAGTTGTTCGCTATACAAGGTTTTCGTTATACACAAGTTCGTTGTGCAGGAGTTACGCACTAATTTTATTAAAACAGGTTGTGGTTTAGTCTATAACTGTAAAAAACCCCCGAGCCGTAAACTAGGGTTTCACTAGACCTTATATAAAGTTAAACATACCCAAAATGTTATTTTAAAACAAAGCCCCCCCCCCAGTTAAATACAAGCCTTTTTGCACCTTTTTTAAACCTTAAACGCTGGACCTCAAAAAAATTTAAAAGTCTTGATTGCTTTATAATGTTCTGTATACTCAAATCATTATATATATATAGTCGACAGTCTAGTTTGTATTGTTTCGTTACCCCAAAATATTTCTACATAATTTCATAAAGCTTAAACTATATCTATATGAAACAGTGTTTTTAAACTTCTAAAGCAAGTGTCGATGATCTTTGGTATGCGGAAAGAATACAAAATGGCCTTTTTACATATATAGTAAACCATCTTCATAAGCAACTTTAAAAAAAACAAGAAATTTAGCCTTGCCAAGCCAATTTGCACTAAAATTAACTGTAGAGGTAACTGTAAAGACTCTGTAAAGACAACACGCCCTACATTAAAAACAAAATGCCGGCCTTTTTAGGTTGCTTATACCTCTCTCTACATAAGCAACCCAAAGAGACTGACATTTTGTGTTTACTATAAGAGGTGTCTTTACAGAGGCTTTTTAGTAAAAATTGACTTGGCGGGGCCAAATTTCTTGTGTACTATAAGAAGAGTTGCTTCTATTACAGATGGTTCACTATATAGAGAGATTACTGTATAAAAGGAGTATTGTAAAACATTAGACGACCCAATTACAAACCAGCCTTTTAAAATTGTGTTATATTGAGTTAGTTCATCAAGAAATTGGCTGCTATTTAGTCAAGAAATCAACTGTTATTTTGGTCGACATTGCAAAACACAAGCTTTGGTATTCCAAAGTTTTGAAATTTCAAAGTTTACAAATTTCAAAGTTTTGATATCCCAAGTTATGCTAAACCCCAACAATAAACAAACAAAATAGCACGGCATAATACATGAAGTTAAGGCACGCGTACTGTTATGCTAACAGTGCAATTCCATTGCGAAAGTGTAGGTTAACAAAGTGTAATAATAAGAGCTTTAAACAAACATCAAAAACGGATTTCAGGTACTTAACAATTGTATTGTTTTAGTTTCTTTAAATCGAGTGTTTTTGAGCAGTATAATAAGAAGTGGCATTCACTGTGTATGATTTAGCGAAACGATAAAAATACAAAAAACACTGTCAAAATACAAGATTTAAACTTATGTCACGTAAAATTTTGCAGCCGTACTCTTGTATAACAAATCGAAATGCGAGAGATAGAGCTGGAACCAGAGCTAGAGCAAAATTGTTCGGTATAAGAGTTCGACTGTATGCGAATTTTATGTGACAAGCATGCAAAAAAGGCCAGTGAAATTACCTATTATAGGAGAAAGAGCGTTTTCAAAAGCATTTTTTGCTCGTGAAAAAATCCAATAACTTTTGTGACATTTAGCAAAAATCGATATTTTTTTGAAATTTCGTTACATTTACAAAATGTCAAAAAATTTAATCAAAAACTATAAAAACACTTTCACTCTACTTTTTCAAACCCAAGCGATTCGTTATACCGACGCTCTACTGTACTTGTTATACTGTCCACTCATAGATCTCTACTCTATAGAAAATCTCATACCTATATAGCATTAAGTATTTCTATATACAGTGAAACTCCTGCATAACGAGCTCCTCTATAACGAAAATCTCGTGTAACAAACAACTTTTGAATCCCCGTCTACCACTACACAGTGCATTTAAAACTTCTGTATAACGAAACTTCTTTATAACGAACAAATTTCAAGTCCCCGAGCGATTCGTTATACAGGAATTCCACTGTATAACTCTACAAATATTTTTATATAACTCCAGAAGCAAAAAGTAAAACCAAATATACGTCAAACTACTAGTGCAAGCGATTACTTAATAAGTGAAACAACATTTGACAGAATATTAAGCAGCTTTAGAGTTCAAAGATTTGTGGTGTCACCTGTTTCAATTTCTTATTCTATATAGAGTTTCTTATAGAAACGTCGGATTTGCATAAGTTATAACGGAAAAGCATATTGAGAGAAAGCGTAAGTTTATAGAGTAATTTGCAATTTATAGCGTTACTAATACAGTTTATAAAGTTACTATGATATAATATTAATATTGATACTTAAATATTAAAACACAACGAATGTCTCGGCAATATATCTTGACAAATATTTTAAAGAGTAACGTAAGCTTACCGTAGGCATTCTCTGGACTGGGGGTTTTCAGCTCCTCCATCTCCACAGCAGGCTGGCGCTGGAACGGAGCTCGACGAGGTGCTGCCGCTCTTTGTTTGTACTGTCGATACTGTAAACATTCTTATTATTTACCGTATAACTAGCAAAGTAAAGTATCATAAAAAATGTTTCTCAAACAAGTAAAACCTTGTAAATATAGGTATAAAAATCTGATACTCAATGGATAAGTAGGTGTACAAAAAGATTAATCTATAAAACTCAAACAACAAAAGCGAAATGTTTGCAAAACTGACCAATCATCAATCTTTTTGCAATGCAAAATGACATAGTTGTTACTATAATTTTTTTTCTTGCTATTATGTTGTTTAACTAATTTTGCACCCCCTAATCTTAAACATTTGCTTTAATAGAAGGCACAAAATTATTTGAACAACGTAATACAGTGGAACTCCTGTGTAACAAAAATCATATATAACGAACAACTTTTAAATCTCCTTCTGTTACTATACAGTGCATTTAAAACTCTTGTATAACGAAACCCCATTATAACAAACATATTTCAATTACCCGAGCGATTCGTTATACTGGAGTTCCACTGTATAATGTTGCTATAATAATAAGAAAAACCCTTATACTAATGTCCACAGTAATTTTGTCGTAACTATGCTGTTACCGTAGCCCTTCGCGCAAAAAATTTTTTTTAAAGTGGCGACTCTAAACCTCATTTCGATAACCAGACTAATTCTCAGTTTAAAAAAAATGACCAGACTAAAACACAGCTCAATGAAAATGACTAGGCTTAACGCAGTTAAAAAAATGACTAAACCAGCACAATGTTCACTGCTAAATGACCAGACTAAACGACTGCTCAATCAGCTATGTCACCCTTTTGACTTGTTACCTAAAACCGTCCCGACTTATTACTTCCGACCGTTTCGAATTTAATATGTTACTCGCTAACACATCAGACAGGTCACTTTTTATTGGCCGGCTAATACTACGTCTTTGGTAATTGACCAGTGTTGTGCGTGTTTGTTAATCCCGTGGTCCAGACGGGGTCTATAATTAGGTATCGCTTGCAGTGGCGGTCTACACGTGTTGGTATTAATGCTAATCAGAGGCTTGGAGCACGTTCGGCTTACGTTACAAAATACACGTCAGTTTGGGTAAAAAGTTGCTATTTTTAGACTGGACGTAAATATAGTATGTTGCACTTTTGTGGCCGTACGTACTTATATTTCGTGTACGTACAGAGAAGAAGTGGAACAGTGCATAGCCGATGTTGACTTCAAATGATGAACAATGGATGAAGAAGATAATAAAGGAGGTGCCCCCCAGACAATATAAGAAAGTATAATATATAAAAAACTTACACTCACAAGGTACGGTGACTGCCTTCTTTGACTGTCAGCTATGTTGTTTATTGGTGACCAACTGGTCGACTCTTGGCTGTTCTGACTATACAACGAACCTCGACGTTCGTAGCCCCAAGAGCAGCGTGCTTGAGTGTAACTTGTGTGTTCGCAGTGGCCGATCTTATGGCCTTGCGATCCCGGCTGACTGCAGCGATCCAGTTCGTAATCGGCGGTCCAATCGAGGTCGGACCAGTCGGCTGGTTGAGTTTGATCTATGTAGTCACTCTGTTCTAGGTAGTCGTCGAATTGGGGGTTGTATTCAAATGATGGCGTGTTTTTGTTGTTATCGTTACAGTAGGTTGTATGAAAGGAAGATAGGGGCTGATTACAGTAGTTCTTGATATCACAGTAATCGGCTTTGTAAACTGTTGATGTCAAGTGCATCAGCGAGGTAAAACTTGAAGGTATGGGTGGTAGAAAAACTTGGTATAGATCAAAGGAAGATTATTAGTAATTATGGGCTGAATTCTAAAAATTCTTTATTATAACACATCGTTAATATATCGCCCAAATTTAATGAAATACATAAACCGTCACGACTCGACAATAGACCAAGTAAAAATACAATAAATGTAGCAAAGTGAAATAAAAAATAATTTTTAAAAAGTAAAAAATATTTTCAAAATTCAAAACACCAAACGATAAACTTTTAAAGAATTCTGAATAGATTTTTTATGTCCGAACACTTTTTAAGTTTCGACAAATCTCCGCCTCATAAAAAAAGGGATCATCCCGGATTATCAGTGCGTCATTATCATCACTGATATTCAACCTGACTTCTATTCACAGAAGTGTAATGCAATAATTCGTCGAGCAATTTCAGATAAAAAATTGACCAGTTTGAGAGACAGACTTGTGTTATGAGTAAGGTAACTGAAGAAGTTGAAAAATTATTGTGAAAAGAGTGAGCTAGTTGAAAAAAACATTAAGATATAGTTAGAAAATAAAACCTTAAAAGACACAAATTGTTAGAAAATCTTAACTTTGATATACAGAACTTGGATTAAATTCCCTGCCAGTTTGGCGTTGTGTTTCAAGCGTGTAACTTTGTCATTTTTTGACTTTTAATTATTTTTCTTTAATATTAGTAGAAAACCTTCAATTAAACCTAAATTTAAATAAAACACAATGCCAAAATTGCGATATTTTTGAAAAAAAAATATTTAAATTTCAAAATTCAAAAGCGCGAGCTAAAATCTTTTATCGCTACTATTGTTAGTACAAAGATTGTATAAGAAGATTTTGAAAGGTTGAGCTTTGTCTAGGTTTCTATAGTAGGTGAGGCAGGTTGGGTACTTTCATTGTAAACTTGAAATGCGGAACAAGTTTGCACAGAAAAATGAATATTTGTGAAAGACAAGGGCATTTAATAGTAGTAGTTGCAAATTGAACCCATCAATTTACATCCGACAGTTTTCTGGACTAACATAACCGCCAAAACATATAAGACGACCACCAGCCAACGCCCCACCACCGTCTTAAACTTGGTCAGTCGGAAAAATGAAAACATTAGTAAAATAAACTGGTAATACGACTTCGTTTCTTGCACGACAACATTTACATATTCAAATATCAAGCCTACAAAGATGAAAGAATGAAAAAGATTTTCCAAGCCCCATAGAATAGCCCGCATATCTTGGGGATAGAGAAAAACGCGTTGACAAGTCATCATCAGAAAGGATAATCTACAATATCCGTCAGTGCTTGCAATCGATGCTAAAATCGGAACGTGCACGGAACGTTCGCTTCAATTGCAGTCTTTGACTCATTTTAAGCACGGGCTTAGACGGCTGCGACCGTATTTTTAGCTCAAAAGTGATTAGCGCCGCATTAACAATTGCGCAATTCGCAAAGTTGCAGAGGTTCGACAGGCTTCGGCCGTCGAATACGAAAAGACGAGATTAGTCGCGATAGGGTTTTGTCTCAACTGTTCCAGGCATTAAAAGTTTTTTTTTGGCTTCTGTAGCATAAGTAGCATTTATAGAATAATAGTCAGGACTAGATGTAAAAGAAGGGTCTAAACTAATTAGAAAAAATTGAACAGCTAGCTATAAGTCGGCTCGAAAGACAGGGCCAAACCAAGTTTTCAGGTTAGATATGAAAGAAAGACCACTAATTCGGATCGGCTTTGAGCCGGGTTGGGCCGATCCAATGAAAATTTTAAGGCGGCAATTGGCACATGTAAGCTAGAGCCGGAAGACCAAACCAACGCCCCAGGGCCCTAACTTTTTATATAATGGACAGGGCCGAACTAAAGAAAATTTTAGAAAAGCTAGGCCTAGCCAAAAAATTAGTCGCGGGTACTTTACAGGTCGATTCTGGGCACAAAACCTTAATTTTTTTCAAGATATAACATTGTAAGCTCACGAAAAAAACATAAGTCACAACTTATGACAAAGATAAGTAAGTACAGATTAGTGAAAAACTTGAGCGGATGCAGCATTTATAGAAATCCTGTGTCAGATCTTTGAGAGCAAGTTTAGAACATTCAAGACGTTTGTAGAGATTTTCAAGACAGAGGGATAAGCACTAATGTTAAGTATGGCATAAAGAAAGGTAGTACGTTTTGTTATGCTTAAAACTCAAATACAACACAGTATTATGCTGCTATTCAGGGTCATATTCCTCCCCCAACTTCGAAAAAAATACAACAGATAAGAACCCTGTACGTGAAAAAAGGAAAATAATTTTGTATAAGGTAGTTCAAAAATTAATGAGCCGTAACTTATAGCATGTTTTTTAAGAGTTGTTTCAAAATGAACACAAATTTCAGATTCTTTAAATTTTTATACTTAAATTTAATTACTTAGCGAGAAAATGAGTATCACGTACGTTATCAAGTCATGTTGTTAATTATCAACCCTATATACTTTCTTTGTAATATCATTCTCTACAACTGTAATATCATTATCCCCAACAACTAAACGGCCTTAATAATATAATTTTCATTTCTTTATAATTCCTTTATCCCGCCAAATTCCCACTAAATCCACCAACAAATAACGTACGAGCAACATACGTTAGTGACCCTCTAATTAATCTGATTTAAATTAATTCCTTTAATTCTGGGACAAATCCCGCTGTTTATCAACCGATTATTCGGTGCATAAAAACCGATAAACTAATTAGTTTACGGTAGATATGTGGAATAAACATTGATAAACAGTTATTCGAAAAGGTTTGTTAATTGACAACGACTTAATTATTTGTGAAATTCAAGCGATTTTAATTATGATTGGCACGTATTTTGTGAATGTCAGAGAATTACATAAAGAAATTTGTCAATAAGAGAAAGCTAGGGTAGGGTAGTGTAAGACAGAGTAGAGGGGAGGAGGGGGTAGAAAATGTCAGGTATAGTTGAGTAGGATAGGGTAGGATAAGTTAAGATAGGGTTGGGTAGGGCAGGAAAGACGTTTTTAGTTGTATTTAAACTTAAAAGGAGACCTACTTGGTCGAGCCTTTAACACGACCCAGCCCCGTGTTAGGTTAAACCGTGATAAAAGAACTTTGAAAGCAGACTTATGTGGCCCAAAGGCCAAATCTTAGTCAGATAAAAACCAAGGCCTAACCCAAACTGAAAAGTAAGATTTGTTTTACATGACTAATCGTAGCGTCAAGCGAAGTCAACTAATATTAAAGTTAATAAACGAACAGCCTACAACTACTGCTATGTAACAAAACCAGAGTATAAAGAATTCCAATATAGCGGACAAATTTTAAAATCTTTAAGTAACTCGCTGTACAAAAGTTGTACAGCCGTATGTATAACTTTAAAATATTTCAAAAAGTTGTACCACAGCAACATGCAGTACGAGTTTTTAAAATATTTAAAAAATAAAACTAGATTGTTACCAGGGCCGCGCGGGGACTTTTGGTCTGGGGGCGGGGGTCAAAAAAATCGGCACAATTTTTTGCGAAATTTTTTTTCCGAAAATCCGCAGGGGGGGGACCACATTCAACTTTTTTCAAAATTTTTCAAAAAATTTTTTTTTCTGGGGGGGTAACCCCCCCCGTCCCCCCTCGCGCCCGGCCCTGATTGTTACACAAATGCTACATTTTTAAACGTTGCCATAAATAAAAAATGATACAAAACGAACGTATTAAAAACCCTATTTAAAATTGCTGCGTAATCAAAAAAACGTACAAAAGTTTAATGCACAGTCTACGTACCAACTATTGGTAAATACAATTCCTGTCACTTTTTAATTGCCAACACAAAAAAAAAATTTTAAAGTCTTTCATATGACAATTTTAAACTTTTTTGTTTTTAAACCTATTGAAAATGATGTTTTTGTAATAGGTTTTTTACTCATTTTCAGTAGGTTTTTAACGTTATAGGGTTTAGACGTACAAATACGGGGAATTACTTTAATTGAGTGTAACTTACGATACCTACAAAACATCATAAATCTTTTACAAATTTTTGTTTTTTGAGTAAACCTCTTAAGACCTTTTTGAACATAAAGTTTTGCAAGAAATTGCTCTAAGGTCTTCCTCATGTTGTAGGTAAAGAAAAACACGGTAAAGGTCTAAAAGTGAAGTCTCTGTTCTTGGAGTTGGGAATACCTACAAAGACTGTCATAAAGGTGGTATCTAGACTAAAAAAAAATACTTTTAAAGCGCCCAAGCCTAGTTTTTCAGCTTGTATCGAACCCCAGCCTTCAGGCACACATGTGCCAGCTCGGCCTAATTTGGTCCAAGTTGAGCTTGGCTCAGTCTAGTGACTGTGGTCGGGTCAAAACGAGACTTGGCCTACAGTTATATGTAGACCCCCTTCAGGTCTACATTTACCATACAATCCGTACACAAGTGGCCAAGACCATAAAACAAGCTGCTGAAAATAAGCAACCGGAAATCCGTTGAACCATCCAAAAACAGCGAAACGTGTCAAATTAAAAGTGCATAGATTTAGACTAATCTCATTGGTACTGCATATTGTATAACGGATACAGTGTTAGGAATTGTAGTTTAAGCTTAACTAGAACTACAATGAAATTATGACAATTTATGATAAGATCTGAATTATGAATAGTCTACAATATCCCTTGTTGTAGTTTGCTAATAGCTGTGATTTAGAATAAAGAAGGACTAGTAAACCTAGATTGATTTACGAAGAATAGACATAAAGAACGGGCCGCGCTTGAATCAAAACGGCCAGACCCGTTCCTCATGTCTAACCAAGAATAGTTAACTTTTTTAATACGACCCCTTTCAAAGTTGATTAAGCCCGGCCCAGCTCTTTATATAGATTTCAGGAGTTGATTTACACTGTTCTTAAGTCAATCGGTTTCGTTGCGGGACCTAAGTTGGGTTCTCTCAGAGCTTGGTTTGAGCCCCAGCCTTCAAGCTCACATGTACTGGCTCGGCCTTTTCAAGTTGGCTCA